ATGAAACTTGAATTTTCATAACTTTCACCACTGCCTTCATTATAAATTATGTGGTAGGATATAGCAACAGTAAATACATTCTGTTTTCAAAACAGGGACTTATATGGTGCGATATTAATGATTGCCAAGTTCACACTATGACTAAGTACCAAAACAATGATAAAACAGCTAGACTGACTGACTATCTCTTCAGCAGTTGCACAAGTAAGCTATTCATGTGATGATGGATAATACAGTTAGCTTGATCATAGTGACACATTTATAAGTTCATCTTTGAACTCTGATACAGATTCATAACAGTTACTGTTTCCTGCAAAGAATATGATTAGAACTCTAAAATAAGACATTTGATTGAAGTGGTGATAACTGGATTATTTTATGCCCCTTGATCAGATTCTCAGGCTGACTAGATGTTTATAATCACAGAGTGCACAGACCAAGGTACACTGACTTGGGATCTCATTCCTTTCACAATCACCATGGTAATAGGTCACAAAATGGGAACATAAAAAACTGGTAGGACAGGTAATTTCTGATCATGTGATTGACTGCAATATACATCTCCCGAGTGGCGCAGTGGTCTAAGGCACTGCATCGCAGTGCTAACTGTGCCACTAGAGATCCTGGTTCGAATCCAGGCTCTGTCGCAGCCGTCCGCGACCGGGAGCCTCATGGGTGGCGCACAATTGGCCCAGCGTCGTCCAGGGTAGGGGAGGGAATGGCCGGCAGGGATGTAGCTCAGTTGATAGAGCATGGCGTTTGCAATGCCAGGGTTGTGGGTTCGATTCCCACGGGGGGCCAGTATAAAAAGATAAATAATGTATTCACTAACTGTAAGTCGCTCTGGATAAGAGCGTCTGCTAAATGACTAAAATGTAAATATACAGGTGTAACTGGAATGTCCCTTGTTGGCTCATGTTCCCTTCCCTATGAGTTGACCTATTTTAACTTTCCATTCTACCTCTTTTGTCCTCTCATTTATAATGTGCTACAAACACACACATTAAAATATATCAAAGAGAAGTAGTGCTTATTACCTGGTCTCCAAGATGCCACACCAATAACAAACAATACTATTTACGAAACACTCTACAAATCACCCTTGCTCTGATCATATTCGGCCATAATGGAGAATGATATGATTCTATAGCAGTCGTTGGGCTCCTGAGTTTGTGAACAATCAAACCTTCATCCATTTGTATATCAATAGTTAATCAAATATGTTTTTGTAAACTAATTAATATCATGTTGTTTCTGTGCTTCTTTATTAATAAACTATACTCTCAAAAGTAACACACTGTCACATAATGGAATATTGTATGCCAAACTTTTTTAGTCCAATAAATCTTTTATTGTCTGAGTACAATATTTTTGAAGTATCTGATAAATCTTTGTACCAGTAAAAAGCATCTGTCCCAGTGACATAATGTTTTACTGTATGAGCCCCCAATTGTCGCTATCCTGTGTAGATATCAACTGATAATTGACAAACATTCCATTATATGCAAAATGACTGGGACATACCAAGAAACTAGGCCAGCAAACAAATACAGTGCATGAAACTTGAACTTTCATAACTTTCACCACTGCTTTCATTATAAATTATGTGGTAGGCTATAGCAACAGTAAATACATTCTGTTTTCAAAACAGGGACTTCTATGGTGCGATATGAATGCTTGCCAAGTTCACACTATGACTATGAAAACAATGATAAAACAGCTAGACTGAAGGACTATCTCTTCAGCAGTTGCACAGGTAAACTGTTGCAACACAATCTCACACTCAATTCGTGCAAATATATACAAAAAGTATTTCAGCAGATTTCGTGTGTTTTTGTGCATTTTTGTGTGGCTTAATTCATGTGAAAATTCAACAAATGTTGTGCGACTTCATTCATAGGAAAATACATTTTTGGGGGGCAAACATCGGAACAATCTTTTGAAAGTTATTGGAGCAATGCATTTTCTACATTGCCTTTTTTTGTATCCCACATTTATTTATATATTTAAAAAAAAACGTGTTAACAACCCAATATTGTTAATCAACCACATTGTCATCAAAATATTTATAATATAATAGTAGCGTTACAATATTTTTTATTAATGCCAATGCTATTTTCTGTGCATGTTTTTGCTTAATACTTTGGGATACTGGTGCTATGTCAGATTTTGTGAGGGTTGCCAGATTGGAGTAAAAAGCTGTATTTGTCTGTATTTTTTTGTGGTATCGATTAAGGTATTTGATTGGGGAATAGGGATACATTTTCATGATAGGAAATTATTCATCAATAAATGTGGGGAAACAGAAGACCTGTAAAAACAAATCTGTTTGGTTTAAATTCCCCTGGTTCAACTGCATGGTATTTTCAACTATAACGAGTCTGGACTATGATCAATTAAACTATATCAATGCAGTTAAACAGGTTAATGTAAAATAAGGAATTATGTTGGCTTGCACTTATGGCACGTCCAACGCCATTTCATGATGATTATTACAGTTGTGTCAATCATGTTATATACTTAGGCTATTGTAACAAGGCATATGCCAGCATTGTAGGCCTACTGCCTCTGCCCAGAGGCCTAATATGCTTTTATGGCAACGGCTGTTAGAGCTCACTTTGCCACGTACAGTATGAGCCCTGGTTAGAGTCCCTGTTGCAGATTTCACTTTCTTCAGCTAAATTAGTGGCAGCGTTGGGATCACGTCCAGCTCACGTCTAGTTATGTGATCTAGTGTTGGGAAGCATTCTGTTTTTCAACATTGTGTTGGGTGTAATTACATTGATATATCTAGTGAACAAGGGATAAGCAACAATGGGCGTGAGGGATAGAAGTAGTTCAGGTGTGATCAAGACTTACATCAAAGTTGCCTGAAGTTGAATGGAAAGTGCTATGCCCTGACCAGTTATTCAGAAGAAAATCCTCTGTGACTGTTTAATTGACATAAGTTAACTTACCAGTGTGGACACAAAACAAACACATTCTACACATTTACAAACTACCTATTTAAAGTGTTATTACAACCATGGTGTTCTTTTGTTACTGAAACTTATATATTAAATAACCTGACAATGATCCACATCATATGGGTAGACAGATAATGTATGTGGGTTATGCAGCAAAACAAAACTATCATTTCTTCAGGAGGCACACCAGTAATATGAATCACTGTTGATCCATCTTGTTTTGATCTAATGAGATGGACGTAGCCTTTCCCAGTCATGAAGGACGAAGCTAGTCCCCTCTTGGTTCTCATTGGTGAAGACTGAACCCAAGTTAGGGGTTATATGTCAGACTCTCCTGTACCACTTTGCCCAACATGTTATACCCCAGAGGTTGTAAATAAATGCTTTTTAAGGTGATATAACTTGTATTGTTATTATAGGGCTGTGAAACCCATAGCCGAATGGCTTCATTTATTTACGGAGAGCAATTTCCGTTTTAATACAGGTAGTGTCCATTTATTTGCAGTAGTGTGTTGATTAATTATTGCTTTCTTCTGTGAAAATACAGAATATGTATACAAATGCCAAATATTTTATTACAAATAATTCATCCAAAAGTTAAGCTATAACATGAGTACAAATAAAGTGAGTGTGTGTATATGGTGTCTATTATAATTTCCCATCATACAAATGTATCCCCATTCCCCAATCAAATACCTTCATTGATACCACAAAGAAATCAACAGAAAAATATGTTTTTCTTTCTCCAATCATACAATTCAACATAGCCCTGTATAAAATGCATGAAAGAAATGGTGTAATGTACACGAAAAAGTAGAGCCTTGTATTAATTGTGTAATGTAGGCTCCACGAAATATGAAATGCATTATGAAGAAAATCGTGTAGGCCTACTGTTGGCTTCATGAAAAAAGGGCTTTTCTGACTACAAGAGCACCAGTATCCAAAAGTATTCAGTGAAAACAAGCATAGAAAACAGTGTTGGCATTTATATTTTTTAAACAACGTAATGCTACTATTATATTATAATTATTTCGGTGACAACCTGGTTGATTAACAATATTGGGTTGTTAACACGTTTTATATATATATATATAAATAAATGTGGGACACAATAAAAAAAAAAAGCAGGGTAGAACACCATTGCCCATCATGCATTGCTCTAACAACTTTCAAAAGATTGTTCCTAAGTTTGCTCCCCAAAAATGTATTTTCCTATGAATGAAGTTGCACAAAAAAATTTTATTTTCCTACAAATTAAATCACACAAAAATGTGTATCTTTTCACACAAATTAATCACACAAAAACGCCCAAAAACGCAAGAAATCTGCTGAAATACTTTTGGTACATATTTGCACGAATTGAGTTTGAGACTGTGTTGGCTATTCATGTGATGATGGATAATACAGTTGTCGCTTGATCATAATGAGGCATTTATAAATTACAGCCTATCCTTCAAGTATCAATGGTGAGACCAATATCATTATTTGAAATGGCCAATGAACAGCAGTAAATATTGCAGATTAGGCTACACCTTTAGATTACATAGTTTTATTGACTAACAGGAAGGAGTAGCTGAAATCGAAAGTGATGTTTTAGGACTCTGGGAGATGACAGTTGCACTATAATAGCTTTCGTTGTTTTCTTAGAAGCTGACAACAAATAACTATAGACGTAAGCGCACCAACAATATTTATTCTACGCCGTTGTTACTATTCAAGGATACTGGTAAGCTTGATGTACATTTTACCAAACTATTTCGCTACCTTATAATTTACAAATTGTCAAAGAAAGACTCAGAACGCAGAACAGATCAATCTCAAATCAAATGTTATTTCTTTCCAATGACAGCTGTTTGACTTGAGTCCGTTTATTTATTGATCAAATAGTCCTAGTATAATCATTTCTCATATCGATGTTGTAAACCTTCAAGATGTGAATTTGAAGAACGAATGTAATCAAACAATTTAACAAAGTCCCATGTTTATTAACCTTCAACAGATCATTAAGTGGATGATGGTATGGACTATTTAGACATGATGTCCCTTTGGAACAACCAATGCTATTATCCAAATGAGAACCTGAACAAAGGTAGGCCTATAATACAGCTGAACTCGACATAGAACTACTTTACTTTATTAGTTCCACATGGCAGTCATACAACTGAAATATATGTACATTTACATACACATAAAAACATTGGGGTTTGAGAGACATAAAGGCCACCTCTATCCTATATAGGCCTACACACACAAAACATTGCATAACGCATATACAGTATTAAGCCTAGACTACACACCACAACACAATATAGCTATGAGCTGCCTCACTGTCAGTCATCATGCCACTAATTATTAATATTCTGTCCTTTATTTTAGACAATAAAACCATACTCTATTATGGTTTGCACAATCAAGGGGCAACCTGTTATTTGAACAGTGTGCTGCAGGTCCTTTTTATGACTAAGGGCTTCAGAGAGGCTGTGGAAAGGTTTGGATACTCCTACTCTTATGTCATATTTTCTGTTGGAAAAAAAAATCACAAATAAAGAAAGCTAGGATATTTATGGGAAATTGTCAAAAGCTTTTCAAAATGGATAACAAGCTATACACTGTGGGAGAAAGGCTACTTGGTCACTGTATCTCTCCCTAGTGGCTGTAAGAGTGTATTTATTGGCTATTGCCAGTAATAATATGAATCTTAACTGCCAGGAAGTTATTAAGAGATGTTGCCAATAAATATAACTAATTATAGTTCTTAAATGTCTCCTTACAGCCAAGAGCAGGATAATGTTGAACAGGAGACTTTAGATCTTCATCTGAAATGTTTGTTTGAGACTTTAAAGAAAAAACAAGCTCACACTAAAGATGTCACATCGAAACTGGGCATTGAAAAGGGTAAGTCAAGCAAAAGTATCAGAGCTGAGAAGTAATCTGCATTTTATGTATCAGCATAGGTGTACAGGTACTTTAATAGCACAGTATTTGATGATACAATTGAAAATAGTATTCTTTGATGTATTTGTATTTGTATTTATTATGGATCCCCATTAGCTGCTGCCAAGGCAAAATTAAGGCAGTTATACAATTTTAAAACATTATAATACATTCACAGATTTCACAACACACTGTGTGCCCTCAGGCCCCTACTCCACTACCACATATCTACAACACAAAATCCATGTGTACGTGTGTGTATAGAGCATATGTTATCGTGTGTGCATGTGTCTGTGCCTATGTTTGTGTTGCTTCACAGTCCCCGCTCTTCCATAAGGTGTTTTTTTATCTGTTTTTTTAATCTAATTTTACTAATTGCATCAGTTACTTGATGTGGAATAGAGTTCCATGTAGTCATGGCTCTATGTAGTACTGTGCGCCTCCCATAGTCTGTTCTGGACTTGGGGACTGTGAAGAGACCTCTGGGGGCATGTCTTGTGGGGTATGCATGGGTGTCCGAGCTGTGCGCCAGTAGTTCAAACAGACAGCTCGGTGCATTCAACATGTCAATACCTCTCATAAATACAAGTAGTGATGAAGTCAATCTCTCCTCCACTTTGAGCCAGGAGAGATTGACATGCATATTATTAATATTTGCTCTCTGTGTACATCCAAGGGCCAGCCGTGCTGCCCTGTTCTGAGCCAATTGCAATTTTCCTAAGTCCTTTTTTTGTGGCACCTGACCACACGACTGAACAGAATGACGTATTGCCTGAATGAGTGTAGGTCTACCATTCATTAAATCATTGGGTGTACCATTGATTGTTTTTATTGCCTCCAATGCAGTGTTCGAGCAAGGTGATGCTGCTGAATATTTTGAGAAGATTTTAAGCAAGGTCAATCCGTATGTGTCTAAGGTACTGCATTGCTCAACATTGAATTGCCCATTTAATGTATAGAAGTTATGAAATGACAAGACTGACAAAAGTTTGTTTTTAGATATTTCAAGGACATTTGAGGCACACCGCCACCTGTTCTGTATCTGACCATCATGTGAACAGTGATGAAGTTGGTCCGTTTTGGACTGTGCCACTCTCAATGGAAGATAACAACTACTACAGTGTGGTAGGGAAACGCCTACTTCACCTATTATTGCATCTCTAACATGTTCTACATACAGGGCTATCAAATACTTCAAATGCCATGTAGTATGCAATGTGTCTTATGGAATTTAATTGTAGTTTGTATGTGTATATTTTGTATTGTTATTTTTCTTAAATTAAAAGTATCTTACAAAATGTTTTTACTGTACGTTGGAATTTGAGGAAAAAAGCAAATTAATTACATTTAAACTTATATTGTATGATAATAATGCCAACATTTTATATTATGTGACAAATTGGTTGAGGCAAATAACACTGTACCGTTGGGCTGCTGACATTAGAGGTGCATGATACAATTTTGTTTGTTTTTTCAGAGGGATGGTTTTGAGGATTTTTTCAAGTCTTCAACTGTCAGTGGTGACAATCAGATGTACTGTGACTACTGCGATGGGAAAACAGATGCAATCCTTGTGAGTAATGGTATTCAATCCATACTCAATCAATATCCTAAATCGATAATTGTATCAAAAGCTTCTTAAAAAGGTAACACTGTGAAAAATACTATGTTACTGGGTCTTCTTCTAGAGGTGTGATAATAGTGTGTTTTGTGTCTCCAGGCATGTCAGATGGTACATCCCCCAGAGATTCTAACTCTGCTCCTCAAGAGGTTTGAGTTTGACTACCACAGGATGTCATATGTCAAAATTGAGAGCTATGTGGAGGTGCCTCGCACATTACAGATAAAGGTAACTATAAACATTTCTTCATTGAACATGTTATTCTGTTATACATTTTTTTTTCATTAGGTTGTATAACTTACGTTAATTGCCTTTTAAAAAGAGAGAGAATAGTAGCATTGTTATATGAGTTTTCAGTGTGTTCCTTTATAGCCCTCCTCCTCTCTGTACCTTTCCCTACTTTTGACCCTTTCTGAAAAATATCAGTGGTTTTCCTGTTCATGGCGGCCCTTTTGATTTATCCAATGTCTCTGAACAGAACTGTGACTATGAACTCTATGCGGTTGTGGACCATGTGGGAAGTCTAAGAGGTGGACATTACACTGCTAAAATCAAGCCCTATGATGATCACAACTGGTATGTGTTCGATGACAGCTACGTCAGACAGGTAAGGGATACTTTTTTAAATCTAGTATATACCACCCTGCTAGTTCCTTGACATGCATTCCATCCCTAGTTATAGTTGAATGCATTGTTGCTCATCTCTTACAGCTCAATTCAAACCCATTTGAACAAGATGAGAGTTTTAGGTAAATATAGATGTGGGTGTACTTTATTTGCAAACTTGTGTCCGTTTAATGAAGTGTAATTGTCAAATTAGGAAGGCCTTGAAGTATCTAATTATTGTTCCATTACTGTAGGTCCCAGAGTGCGTACCTGCTTATGTACAGGAAATGTAAGTGAACAAATATGAACTACTTTTTTTTATCTATGTGGTTCTACTTCTCCATAAGGTCAAACATCCTCTATTTGATAAATCACAGTGAACCTGTGTTACTTACTTCTGTCACTCTGTCATTTTCCCTCCGTTTCTAAGTGGATGCTCCAGATCGTCAGATGAACCATGGAACCGACCACAAAAGTTCACTCAGTAACTCACAACTCTCTACTCCTTCCTGTTCCTTTGACATGGGAGCCAGCGGAACAAGAGAAGAAGAAGAGAGAAAAGTTCAATCAAATCAATCTATCAATCCAGTTGACTTGGTAGGGGGAACAGAAGTTGTCCCAGAGGAAAGACAGAATGATGATGGAAAGGTTGTTGATATGATAAGACAGATGAACATAAAAGATAGGAGTGGAGAGGATTGCGTTGCAGCTACTGATGATAAAGATAATGATTTTAATGGAGAGAAAAAACAGAAAGGGGAGGATGATGTTGTTGGACAAAAAGAACGGGAAGGTGAAGTGGTCAATGTTGAGATGCAAATGAATGATGAACGGAGCAGGGAAGAGGGTCATGGTATGACAAAAGTATCATGGTGTAAAACTGGAAGAAAAGGAGGAAGGTGGACAGAATCAAAGAGATAAGGCAAAGAAAAGGGAGGATATTGTTGTGGATGTTGTGGATGAAGCTGGACAGAATCTAAGAGATAATGTCTTGGAAAATGGAACAGAGGGTGATGATGTGATGAGAGGAAAGGATGTGGTTGTGATGGACAGAGATGGACATAATCATGAGATAAAGAGGAATAGAGATGGTGCAGCAAAGACAAAGCCAGATAGAATAATAGATGACACTGGGGATGATAGAATGGCAAAAAGAAATAGTGGTGAGCTAAAGACAATAGAGGTTGAAGTGGCAAAGTTAGGAGAGGATTGGGATGTGAGAACGATGAGTCAAAATAAACACAGTAAATCTCCCAGTTCCGTTAATACGTTTCAGAACAGACTGACAGACACCCCAGAGAAGACACCAACATGTTGTGGCTTGAAGAGAAAAAGAGACAGAGGGGAAAAGAGAAGTGAGCATGACAATAAGAAGAAAAGGGAATTGGAGAAGAGCAGAGAAGATGAAAAGAAGGGTATGTTAGGAGGACAGAGTAGAAAAGAGACAAAGAAGAGTATGTTAGGAGGACAGAGTAGAAAAGAGACAAAGAAGGAAGAGGCAAATAGAAAGAAAGAAATAGAAAAGAGAAGAGAGGAGGAAAAGAAAAGGGAAAAAGAAGAGAAAAAGAGAAGAGAGGAGGAAAAGAAAAGGGAAAAAGAAGAGAAAAGAGAGAAGAGAGGAATTTAAAAAGAAAAAAAGAAAGTGAAAAGGGAAGAGAGGAGGAAAAGAAAAGCTAATTGAGAGAGAGAACAAAGGAGATTTTTTAATCTCGGCCGGTTGTGATACAGCCCAAGATCGAACCCGGGTCTGTAGTGACGCCTCTAGCACTGTGATACAGTGCCTTAGACCCCTGCGCAACTCGGTCCCCAAAAAGAAGAACCCAGTAAAGGGAAAAGGTTACCTTGAAGTTAATATGAATAAATAGAATTGAATGAAAATCATGAGAATGGTTCTATCTAAAACTAAGTAATGAAGATGTAAATAATGAACTTTGATGATATGCTGAATTGAACCAAATAAGGATTAGTGTGACAGCTGTGATAAATTGCTCTTTTAATTTCACAAAGCTGGCATGGCTTGGCATTGTCCTTGTGGTATGTATATAGATTTGAACAGAGTTATAGTGTGCATCGGTTTTAATAATGAAATAATGGTAATGGAATTAACTTCAGATCTGAAAAATGTAAGGAATTGAATCATGAGGTATAACTGAAAACATTTTTGTAATTCATACATTTAATATAATTAAATCTGGTTTCAAATCACCCTTTTTGTCTCCCCCTGCTTCACACTACATGCTCAAGTTCAACCCACATCCTAGAACCTTTCACTTTCCATCTTTCCGTAACATATGCTTGATGTCACACAGCCACTTTACTTCAGTTCACCAATTCAGTTCATGCCATTGATTCTTGAACATCTTTGAACTCTGATACAGATTCATAATAGTCACTGTTTCCTGTAAATAATATGATTAGAACTCTAAAACAAGACATTTGATTGAAGTGGTGATAACTGGATTATTTTATGCCCCTTGATCACATTCTCAGGCTGACTAGATGTTTATAATCACAGAGTGCACAGACCAAGGTACACTGACTTGGGATCTCATTCCTTTCACAATCACCATGGTAATAGGTCACAATATAGGAACATAAAAAACTGGTAGGACAGGTAATTTCTGATCATGTGATTGACTGCCATATACAGGTGTAACTGGAATGTCCCTGGTTGGCGCATGCTCCCTTCCCTATGAGTTGACCTATTTTAACTTTCCATCCTACCTCTTTTGTCCTCTCATCATGTGTTACAAATACACACATACACACACACATACACTGATTAAAATACATCGAAAATAATTATTGCACTTTAACTGGTTGGTCTCCGAGTTGCCTGTCACGCCCTGACTCAAGGGACTCATATATGTTGAGTCAGGGTGTGTATGTTCTATGTTGTATATTTCTATGTTGATGTTCTAGTATGTCTATTTCTATGTTGGCCGGTGTGGTTCCCAATCAGAGGCAGCTGTCGCTCGTTGTCTCTGATTGGGGTCCATACTTAGGCAGCCTTTTTGCACTAGTTAGTTGTGGGATCTTGTTCCGTGTGAGGTATGTTTTTTTTTGTCTACCTTGGACTTCACGTTTCGTTTCATTTGTTGTTTTGTCGTGGTGTTCATTCAATATAAATAAACATGTATGCATATCACGCTGCGCCTTGGTCCGTCCCGTCTGTAAACGAACGTGACATTGCCACACCAATAACAAACAATAGCCTACTATTTTCTTTAATAAGATATCTTACAGTAACAAGGAATCTCACAAACACTCTACAATGCACCCTTACTCTGATCATATTGAGCCAAAATGGAGAATGATGGGATTCTATAGAAATCATTGGTCTCCTGAATTTGTGAACAACCAAACATCTCTTCGTATATCAATATCATTGTATGTAATCAATATCAACATTTGATCAAATATATGTTTACACAGGATCTTTTGTTGTTTTCTTGTATCAATATAAAGTTAGTTGATCTGTAACTATATGTTTATTGTGCAATATTGTAACGACCCTGTATTGTGTTCTGTGTTCATGGATGTGTTATCGTTCTCATGGGTGCTAGCAGGGGTTAAATATGCCAGGACAGATGGAAAGTTTGGGGGGGTATGATGGGTAATTCCGCGAGGTTTTGGAATGCTTAAATAGGGGTTACGGTCTCATCTCTCTCTCTTCTGTTCGGGACCCTTGATTTGACATGTTCTATATGTGTATGTTCGAGGTTTAGCGGCGTGGGTTGTGGCCTGAACAATAGCCCATTCAGGAATAAACCTGTGTTCTGCCTTTACACCTGGTGCCCGTCTCTCTTTTACTTTATGACCCAGCTGGGTCATTACATTGGTGTCAGAAGTGCTTTCGAACGACGGGATAGATCGAGATTAGGCGAGTTAGCTGTTTCAGTATAGGCGTGGTTAGCTTTAGCGTGACTCGCATCTACGGTCATGATGATCGGGGCGAGGCGGAAAGTTAAGGAAGAGTCGGACAAAGTGTCCGTTGTGGGCTCGGGTGTACCCGGTCGGGAGGGTCAGGCGATGACGGCTGTAGAAGAGCTGGAGAGCCACATGGCGGGAGTTAAATTGTCAGTCAGCAAGATGGCAGAACGGGCGGGTTTTCCTTCAAACCGCTCGACCAGAACAGACGTCACGGCGACGGAGATATCGACATCACCGCGTGCGGAAATGGCTGAACCTCCTTATGTAAACAGAGATGGCAGCGCCCTATTGCCATTAGCCACGGTAGCGGCTAAACTTCCAAAGTTCAATGGACAAGGTAAATTGGAAGTTTTTTTCACTCAATTCGAGTTGTTGGCTAGAGCCGGGAGGTGGTCTGACGAGACGAAAGGGTTACAGCTTGCCCTGAGCCTGTCAGAGGAGGCGTCGGAATGCCTGCTAACGCTAGCCCCGGACGAGAGGGGCGACTACGGTGCGCTAGTGGAGGCATTGGGGGGCCATTTCGGCAGCGATGCACAGCCCAACATGCTGCGGATTGAACTGAATAACAAAAAGAGACTTCAGAGGGAATCATTAAAGGCGTTGGCAAGTGATATTCTGAGCCTGACCAGGCGGGCTTATGCAACTATGCCGATTGGGGTGCAAGACGAGCTGGCACGGGACAGTTTTATTAGAGCGCTCTCCCCCACCGAACTGGGTAAGCATGTGCAGATGTCGGACCCAGCATCTCTGCGGGCTGCAGTGGAGATAGCCAGGAAGAGGGAGCTGATCTGGGGTGAGGGAGTGAGAGTGGAGGTTGCCAGTCAACCAGAGGTGAGAGCAGCGGCGGCCGGGGTGCCGGGGGTCACCAAACCAGAGTGGGTCGACGAGTTGGGCGAGTTAGTCAAGACCGCTTCGCTGGTCATTGAGAGGGGCTCCAGACAACATCGCAGTGTCAGCTCAACTTCCATTGTCTGCTGGGGTTGTGGCCAGCCTGGCCACATTCAGTGGGAGTGTGGCAGATTCTCCAGTCAACAGGGAAACGACAGCGGGTTCTCGCGCAGGGGGCAGCGCAGGCCCATTCCTCCGCCCCCGAACCCACAGTAAGCAGAAGAGGTACCCAGCAGTGCAGGCAAGAGGGTGGGGACCTGCTTCCCCAGGGTGTAGCTGCCACCGTGTTTCCTAGTCCGGTAGTTGTGGTGGGACGTACCACCATTGGGGACTTCTGCAATGTCATCGTCAAGGTAGAGGGGTTGGAATGTTTGGCCCTGGTCGACACGGGCTCTACAGTAACCCTGGTGAGACCAGACATACTACCTGTTGGGGTGCGGGTGGAGCCGACCCTTGTCCAGCTACGGACTGTCACGGGGGAGCTAGCCCCCATGTTAGGGAAGTGTCGGGTGTCTGTGACTGTGGGGGGGAGAACTGTGGGGTGTCCGGTGTGGGTAGCAGCGGTACAGGACCCCTGTATACTGGGAATGGACTTTTTGAAAAACTGTGGGGCTCAGTTGGACTTAGCTTCGGGCACTTTGAGGCTGTCGGGGGGGGCCCACAGTGGGAATGTCGCCTTCGGGAGGGCCAGCAGGGGGCAGGGCTGTCCCTCCGTCTTCCTCCAAGCTTGCCGAAACTCCACTGGTCGTCCCGGCTGCTCCCTTGGTCGTTGTGCCATCCCAGCAGCTGTCTCCGGCGGCAACGACCTTCACTCCCCATAATGGTGCAAGCACAGGCATCCCAGTAGCCCAAAACACACTGGCTCCTTCACCCCATCAGCCTGACGGGGGGAAGGAGGAAGTTATCGACGCCGTTGAGGCTGTGTGGCTGAAAAACTGTCAAGGTCTGGACGAGAGACAACAGAGACAGTTAAAGCAGCTGCTGTTTGACTTTAAAGATAGCTTCGCTTGGGGGGAAGATGAGGTAGGGCAAACGCACCTGGTTCAGCACGACATCGACACTGGGGACAACCAACCCATTAAAATTCGGCCCCGTCGCATTCCCCTTGCCAAGAGGGAAGCAGCAGCCACAGCTATTGCTGACATGTTGCGGGCTGATTTCATTGAGCCATCAGATAGCCCATGGTCCGCGCCGGTCGTCATGGTGCCTAAGAAAGGGGGTAAACTTAGGTTTTGTGCGGACTACAGGGGCCTAAATTCTGTCACCATTAAAGACTCTTACCCCATACCGAGGATCGATGAGTCGCTAGACCACGTCAGAGGGTCCTCGTGGTTCTCTTCCCTTGATCTGCGCAGTGGCTACTGGCAGGTGCCCCTCTCGCCTGGGGCATGTGAAAAAACGGCCTTCTCCACGGATAGGGGCCATTGGCAGTTCAAGGTGCTGTGCTTCGGGCTTTGTAATGCTCCTGCCACCTTTGAGAGGCTCATGGACAGAGTGCTGGCGGGGGTTCCGAGAGACGAGTGTGTCGTGTACCTAGACGACATATTGGTACACGGCACGTCGTTTGAGGGGGCACTGGGGGCACTTAGGCGAGTGCTGGAGAGGATCTCGGGGGCGGGGCTAAAATTACACCCGGAAAAGTGCCATTTCATGCAAAGGGAGTTGGCGTTCCTGGGTCATCTGCTGGGTGGTGAGGGTATCAGCACGTTGCCAGACAAAGTGGAGGCTGTGAGGGGGTGGCCAATTCCAAGGGGAAAAAAAGAGATTAAGAGCTTCCTGGGTCTGGCATCCTACTATCGTAGGTTTGTGAAAGGGTTTGCGGGGATAGCAGCTCCTTTGAACCACCTTCTCAAGAAGGACACTGTTTTTCAGTGGACCGAAGAGCACCAGCGGGCGTTTGAGGCCCTCAAACGTGCCCTGGTGGAGGCCCCTGTCCTGTCCTCACCAGACCCAAACCGTCCGTTTATCGTGGACACCGACGCAAGCAATGAGGGCTTGGGGGCCGTGCTGGCTCAGTGTGGTTCTGACGGGGAGCACGTAGTAGCTTATTACAGCAGAACTTTTGATAAGGCTGAAAAACGCTACTGCGTGACAAAGAGGGAGCTTTTGGCTGTCGTGGCAGCAGTACGCCATTTCAAGTACTACCTGGGGGGCCTGCCGTTTGTGGTGCGGACGGATCACTCCGCCCTGCAGTGGCTTCTCTCCTTCAAGGAGCCAGAGGGTCAGATCGCCCGCTGGTTGGAGGAGCTGCAACCCTACGACTTCCAGGTGGAGCACAGGGCCGGCCTTCGCCACAGCAATGCAGACGCCTTGTCCCGCCGCCCGTGTGCTGAGGACGGCTGTGGGTACTGCGCCAAACGGGTGGAGCGAGAGAGGGAACTGTGCATGGAGGAGGGAGTCACCGCCACGGTGAGTCAGCTGAGGGTGACAGAGTGCCGGGAGCTTGAGGCTGTGGACGTCGGGGAGTGGAGGCGTCGCCAGGAGGAGGACGCAGAGCTGCGTCCTGTGCTGGGGTGGGTGGAAGAGAGAAGACGACCGCCATGGGGGGAAGTAGCCCCTCTATCACCAGTCACCAAAGGACTCTGGGCTAAATTCTCAGTCCTTAGAGTGGCTGAGGGAGTGCTCCAGAGGGGGTGGAAAAAGCCAGCTACTGGAGAAATGACGTGGCAGGTAGTGGTTCCCAAAAGGCTGCAAGGGAGCGTGTTACAGCAGCTTCACGGTGGAGTAGGCGCAGGGCATTTTGGGGTCTCCAAAACATTAAAGCGCGTACGTAAAGGCTTCTATTGGGCCAGGCACAGGAGGGATGTGGAGGACTTTTGCAGGCAGTGCGATGAGTGTGCTGCTAAGAAAGGACCTCCAGGTCAGTCACACGCCCTCCTACAACAATTCCCAGTAGGGGAGCCCATGGAGAGACTGGGGGTAGACATAGTTGGACCGTTTCCAACCACAGACAGCGGTAACAGGTGGATTCTAACTGCTATGGACTACTTCACCAAGTGGCCAGAGGCTTACGCTCTCCCAGACCAGGAGGCAGAAACAGTAGCTGATGCATTGGTAGGGGGAATAATCAGTCGGTTCGGGGTGCCACAGTCTATACACAGCGACCAGGGGAGAAACTTTGAGTCACGGGTGTTCTCAGAGTTGTGTAGACGGTTAGGCGCGGAGAAGACGCGCACTACTCCGCTTCACCCCCAGAGTGATGAGCTGGTGGAAAGATTTAACAGAACATTAGCACAACAGCTGGCTATCGTTACCTCAAAACACCAGAGAGATTGGGACACCCTCTTACCGTTTATTCTTATGGAATGTAGGTCGGGGCTGTTCAGGAATCGACTGCGTGCTCCCCAGCGCTACTAATGTTAGGTCGTGAGTTGCGCACCCCAGCCGAACTGACGTTTGGCCACCCTCCTGATAACGACGACGGGGTTTTGCCTGGCCCGAACTATGTTCGTCGACTGCAGAACCGGTTAGAAGCGGCTCACACCTTTGCAAGAGAGCAACTCGAGAACGCAGGAATGCGCCAAAAGCGCCACTATGACTCACGCGCTAGGGGGAGGCACTTTGGAGCGGGAGAACGCATGTGGCTTCACAACCCCACGCGCAAGAAGGGGCGGTGCCCAAAGCTGGACAGTGCCTGGGTGGGGCCGTGCCTGGTGATAGAGAGAGTGGGGGAGGTGACGTACCGGGTGGAGGTTCCCCCACGGGGCAGGAAGGTGGTGGTCCACCGGGACCGATTGGCGCCCTACAGAGGGAGGAAAACGGTAGGGAATGGAAGTGAGGACTCTGATGTGAGCACACGGGGACAGTCTAGCGAGGAGACTCTAGTGCAAGCTGAGCCTGGGACGGGGGCTGCCTCTTCGGAGGGCGCTGGAAATGACATTGGGGCAGATGAGTGTTCTGGGGGTCCACCAGTGAGAGTCAAGGGGAGGCACAAGAGACTGATGCGACCTCCGGGTCGTTTTAAGGATTTTGTTTTGTAACCCTAGGGGCTAGGGTTTAGAAAGGGGGGGGGCTATGTAACGACCCTGTATTGTGTTCTGTGTTCATGGATGTGTTATCGTTCTCATGGGTGCTAGCAGGGGTTAAATATGCCAGGACAGATGGAAAGGTTGGGGGGGTATGATGGGTAATTCCGCGGGGTTTTGGAATGCTTAAATAGGGGTTACGGTCTCATCTCTCTCTCTTCTGTTCGGGACCCTTGATTTGACATGTTCTATTTGTGTATGTTCGAGGTTTAGCGGCGTGGGTTGTGGCCTGAACAATAGCCCATTCAGGAATAAACCTGTGTTCTGCCTGTACACCTGGTGCCCGTCTCTCTTTTACTTTATGACCCAGCTGGGTCATTACAATATTAACAAATACTCCGACAAACACATGAATTGTATTTTAAATGTTTTTACATTAACATAGAGTATAAGATGACAAGAGCAGCATGATTTTAGAATGCCGATCAAAGTAAAGTAACAATATGATAATAAAGATACTACAAAAATAAATATTGTGCCCGTGTAGCTCAGTTGGTAGAGCATGGCGCTTGCAACGCCAGGGTTGTGGGTTCGATTCTCACGGGCAGCCAGTATGAAAAAATGTATGCACTCACTAACTGCTCTGGATAAGAGCGGCTGCTAAATGACTTAAATTTATACAAATTACCTTATTCATAATTCTTAACATGCACTCAAAAATATATCGAATTGATTATTTTATTGATACTTTGACATACAGTATCGTGTGAAAAGTGTATTGGATCAGATTGCACATAAAGGGGAAAGTGAAACATACTGTATATGCCTAAAGTCTTTAATTACCACTCCAGGTGGGTATAGAGGTCTGCCTGGGGGCAACACCAGCAGAGCAGGCTCTGTATGGTGAACTGGTCTTCATGCACTCAGATTTGAGCTTAAGGCAAATAAAACAGAACTCTTTCTTGCAACGCAGACAGAATAAATTCTTACAACCGGTCTTGTCATGCTCCAATAGTATGCTACAGGTGGGACAGGCACGTGTAGACGGGCAGTCGGTGACCCCCTGTACCCGGGACAAGGAGACGGTTGGACATTTCCACAGCAGCTGTAGCTTCAGGTTTGAACAGCCAGTGTTGCCACAGCAGTCAGAGCCCAGCCCTGGACTTTTCCACTGCCTCTGACATTGCCAGCAGAACTGGTAGGTCTGGCCATTGTCTTCAGAGCATACCGTGCAATGGACTCTTAAGCTGGATGTGTCCTGTCTCAGTAACAGTGACTTGCAGCCTGGGCACTTTTTTAAAGATGGAGCAGGTGGGGGAAAAAAGGAAATACATTTTTGCAACCTTGTAAGCAGTGCGTTAAAAAAGAATGCAATATTGTCAATGCACGTCAGTGACAGCTGCATGCATTCCAATTAAAGAGTACTCACAGATTTAGTTTCACAGTATTTGGGGGAAGCCAAGGTTGCAATGGTCTCCTCAAAATACTGTATTTCCTCGGCAGTCAGAGCAGCCACCCTACGAACTTCCTGATAAGACCACACCACACCACACTTCTGATTGCCCCTGAGTGCAGGACAAATGAACTTTTACTGCCTCTGGAAATACACAATAATGCTTGTGAAGATTTCAGTGGTGAGAAATGCAAAGTACTACAAATTATTAACTGAATCATTTATAGTAGGCATAAATTGCAAGGAAATTAATTCAATTCAACAATTAAATGAAATTGCCTACAACAAAAAGGTATCCTGAAAACTGAATGAAAATTACCTGGCCAAGTAGGCTTTTACACCATCTGGTCAGTGACTCTGGGGTGACTGCATGACCACAGGACATCTCTGCCTTCAAGATGTCAAGGTCATCATCCAGAGCTAAGACACAACAACAACTAAAACAGTGATAAATAAGTATCCTTGGGACAAGTGGTGTATGGTCAATGTACAAATGCCATGGGGACAAAACAGAATAACCCTACATAAATGGCATCCAGATTCACTGAATGTAGCCAAATTATTTACAACACAGAGACCAACCATATACAGTACATGATTCGAAAGATTCAATTTTTGATAGAAAATGTCATTTAATGTCATGTCATGGGTGGTCCTCTGTAGCTCAATTGGTAGAGCATGGTCTAAGGCACTGCATCGCAGTGCTAGCTGTGCCACTAGAGATCCTGGTTCGTATCCAGGCTCTGCTGTAGCAGGCCGCAACCGGGAGACCCATGGGGCGGCGCACAATTGGCCCAGCGTCGTCCAGGGTAGGGGAGGGAATGGCCGGCAGGGAGGTAGCTCAGTTGGTAGAGCATGGCGTTTGCAACGCCAGGGTTGTGGGTTCGATTCCCATGGGGGGCCAGTATGAAAAAAAAAGAATAATGCATGCACTAACTGTAAGTCACTCTGGATAAGAGCGTCTGCTAAATGACGTAAATGTAAAATGTAAATGGCGCTTGTATTATTATTATATTTGAAAATAACATGACAAGTCGATATGTTCCTAATGCTTTTACATGAGGTACTTTCAATACTGTTTAATATCAGGAGTTTCATGTAAAAATATTAATGTCTGGCCACAACAGTTTACTATATAGTTAATAAATGTTTTAAACCATTGCCTCGTAACCTGTTTTACTTTAAATCATAAGAGAGGCATAAATCAATTTACTAATATCATCCTGTCTGTTGACAAACTTGAGGGTCCTGTCTCCGGGGTCATAGCTCTTCTCGGCCTCCATTTTGTTGCTCTCTGTCTTCTCTCTGTCCTTCAGTTACTGCCTCACACACAGGGTGGACTGTGAGATATGACTAAGGGAGGCAGGCAGGTGTGCTCTCCCTGGAATTTGCCTTGGCCTTGCTTTTCAACATCAGTAAATGTTTCTCTCTTTCTACCTACAGTGTGGGAAAAAAGTATTTGATCCCCTGCTGATTTTGTACGTTTGCCCACTGACAAAGAAATGATCAGTCTATAATTTTAATGGTAGGTTTATTTGAACAGTGAGAGACAGAATAACAACAACAAAAATCCAGAAAAACGCATGTCAAAAATGTTATAAATTGATTTGCATTTTAATGAGGGAAATAAGTATTTGACCCCCTCTCAATCAGAAAGATTTCTGGCTCCAGATGTCTTTTATACAGGTAACGAGCTGAGATTAGGAGCACACTCTTAAAGGGAGTGCTCCACAGAAGCGATCAATCAATCAGATTCCAAACTCTCCACCATGGCCAAGACCAAAGAGCTCTCCAAGGATGTCAGGGACAAGATTGTAGACCTACACAAGGCTGGAATGGGCTACAAGACCATCGCCAAGCAGCTTGGTGAGAAGCTGACAACAGTTGGTGCGATTATTCGCAGATGGAAGAAACACAAAAGAACTGTCAATCTCCCTCGGCCTGGGGCTCCATGCAAGATCTCACCTCGTGGAGTTGCAATGATCATGAGAATGGTGAGGAATCAGCCCAGAACTACACGGGAGGATCTTGTCAATGATCTCAAGGCAGCTGGGACCATAGTCACCAAGAAAACAATTGGTAACACACTACGCCGTGAAGGACTGAAATCCTGCAGCGCCCGCAAGGTCCCCCTGCTCAAGGAGGCACATATACAGGCCCGTCTGAAGTTTGCCAATGAACATCTGAATGATTCAGAGGAGAACTGGGTGAAAGTGTTGTGGTCAGATGAGACCAAAATGGAGCTCTTTGGCAACAACTCAACTCGCCGTGTTTGGAGGAGGAGGAACGCTGCCTATGACCCCAAGAACACCATCCCCACCGTCAAACATGGAGGTGGAAACATTATGCTTTGGGGGTGTTTTTCTGCTAAGGGGACAGGACAACTTCACCGCATCAAAGGGACGATGGACGGGGCCATGTACCGTCAAATCTTGGGTGAGAACCTCCTTCCCTCAGCCAGGGCATTGAAAATGGGTCGTGGATGGGTATTCCAGCATGACAATGACCCAAAACACACGGCCAAGGCAACAAAGGAGTGGCTCAAGAAGAAGCACATTAAGGTCCTGGAGTGGCCTAGCCAGTCTCCAGACCTTAATCCCATAGAAAATCTGTGGAGGGAGCTGAAGGTTCGAGTTGCCAAACGTCAGGCACGAAACCTTAATGACTTGGAGAAGATCTGCAAAGAGGAGTGGTACAAAATCCCTCCTGAGATGTGTGCAAACCTGGTGGCCAACTACAAGAAACGTCTGACCTCTGTGATTGCCAACAAGGGTTTGGCCACCAAGTACTAAGTCATGTTTTGCAGAGGGGTCAAATACTTATTTCCCTCATTAAAATGCAAATCAATTCATAACATTTTTGACATGCGTTTTTCTGGATTTTTTTGTTGTTATTCTGTCTCTCACTGTTCAAATAAACCTACCATTAAAATTATAGACTGATCATGTCTTTGTCAGTGGGCAAACGTACAAAATCAGCAGGGGATCAAATACTTTTTTCCCTCACTGTAGCATTTACAAGAAGTCACATTTCTATTTACAAGAAGTCCAACCTCTGCTTTGGTGACAGGGTGTTGTCCAGAGCTACACCCAGGCTCTGGAATTCCCTCCCTTCACCTGTGCCCTCCACATGTCAGACTTTCCATATTTCAGTCCCATCTTGTTGACACCTGGTCTCATAGACTAGATGTAACATAGTAAATCGAAAAACATGGGACACTCAAATGAGTATGATATATACATTTACATTTACATTTTAGTCATTTAGCAGACACTCTTATCCAGAGCGACTTACAATTAGTGAGTGCATACATTAATTTTTTTCATACTGGCCCCCCGTGGGGTATGATATGTTATGTTTGGTATGGTTACATAAGACAGATGGTTACTTAAGGCATAAACACAAACTTAGCATGTTAGCTAACCCTTCCCCTAACCATAACCATAACCCTTTTTGCTAACCCTTCCGCTAACCATAGCCTTAACCCTTTTAGCTAACCCTTCCCCTAACCCTTACCCTTTTAGCTAACCCTTCCACTATCCCTAACCTAACCTAGCTAATGTTAGCCACCTAGCTAGAATGCATAACATATTGTACATTTGCAAATTCGTAACATATTGTACGTTTTGCAAATTGATAACATATTGTACATTTTGCTAATTCGTAACATATAATACGAATTGTAAGTCGTAACATATCAAACGAAATGGGTGATGGATAACCATAAATGTATACATACCATATGAAACAGGACATCTCTGCCTTCCTAACATATCACACTAAATGCAATGTCTCGGATTTACATAAAGGATAATAGGAAATGCTCTGAGACCATGACTACCCATAATCGCCCCCTCCCTCTCATAAATCCTCCCCAACCCACACACACCCTCACATGTACCTTCACACACTTACATGTGAGCAATACATGAAAAGAGATTAACATTACTGACAGTGTTGCAGCTGAAACTCAAAATGACTGAGAAAGTACCCTAGAGCTCAGGTGGGCAGTTAAAACTACCACACACACAAACACACACAACACACAATGATAATTGACTGTTGGCCAATTTAATGGTTACACACTGAACAAAGATACTACAATTGTATTGAGTATAATTTGATGAGAGGGAAATGTGCACAATGAATGTGAAATCTATTAAAATGAACTTATAATGCTGATCTGTGAAGCTATCCTTTGATGTGTTCTGCCCTCCTCACCTTTTTATTTAGGGAACAGTATGAATACCATTCAGACAAGCAGCTGGAATACTCATGCATGTTCTCCTTTTATGGGGTCCAGAAGGAAGATTGGAAATGTCTTTACTCTCCTCTTTTGTCGTTTTATTTTTCATAATTTATTTTCGACAATTCGCTACATGCTCTATAATCTCCCTTTCTTAGACCTTTTATTTGACCTAAACGTTGTGCTTCATTAAAAAAACATATGTCTGTGTGTGAGAGAGAGGGGGATCATAGAATTAGGAATTGGATACTAATTTAATAGGATCTGTTTGGGGATATGCATTATTAATAACAACTCACAATATTTTTTGATTTTTTTTTAAGTTGCTTGTGTGGAATACGCCACATCTGGCCACATATGCGTATTACTGTAGATTTCAAGTGAGGTGAAGTTAATCTAAATCGAAACTGAAATTTTGAAAAACACATGTGTCGCACTTCTCTTTCTGGAACCTGAAAAATCGGTGAAATCGGTAAGTTGTTGGTAGGCTACAGGTTTTTTGGAGTGTTATTACAGTGCTAAAATGTACATGAAAATAACGGAGTAATCAAGTCATGTAATCATATCGGTGTATAGGTATTGTAAGACGCCTGCTGTCCGTTTCCAGGCTTTATTTCAGCCATGCTGAAGCTACTATTCATGTAGGTTATTCATTTATGCATGCATATTGTTGTTAATCTTCAAATATTTGGAATTTGAATCCATATGCGAGGTCTACGATTAGATTTTATTACAGACGACATTTTCCATATCGCTGTCCACAAATGAGTGGTGCTGCAGCAGTTACCCTCAAAACGAAAATCCGCGCAAAGGATGTACAAAATGAAATTATGGTGCGTCTTTACGGGGTGACGGGCTGGGTTATCGAAATAGGTCTGAACGATTAGTTACCGGAGTGTAACTCCAGTTCTATGAGTGGAGCGGAGCCCCATAGGGGAGCTCTGCTCCTATTCGTTTACCCACTGCCCTCAGCCTGAGATAAAATTATGCACACACCTGCAGCCAATAGGAGTACAGGTGTCCCTATAAGAGGGTTCCGTGATAG